AAAAAAAAAAAAAAAGAAATGTAATTTTCTCAACTTGGGAAAGTGTTTATAGAGTTTATACTTTTTAACCTTCACCCAAAGTTAAGTTTTCAGTGTCAGGTATATAGAGCAGAAATTAAACATCTCAGAGAACCCAGTATAAAGGTAGTAGCCTTCTCCTACCTGACTAGATACTGGTAACTTTTGTCTTTTCAATCTTTTTAGTTCTTATTCCCATCATAAATATTATGAAACTGTCACTGTTGGAATTTACAGTGAATAGTATTTGAGCAGGGAAGATTCTTCAACCATTTGAAAGTCATTTAGAAAATGATCTGGACCATTTAGATGCATTTTTTTAGTACATTCAGTGACTTAAACACTGTAAAATTAAACATTTACATCTGAATCCAGCAACTCTTTTTGCTTTTAAATGAGGCCAAGGATGACATCCAGATGTTCTCCCTTTGTATTTTTATTATCACTGTATGAAATCTAAGTACATATATAGAGAAAACTAAGGATAAACTTATTTTTATTTCATATTAACTTTTGCCTGTCTTTTGCAATGTGTAATTGGGTTTTTTACCTTTAGCTCTCTAAATCAAATGTTTTGCTCCCATCCCTTTTCTTTTCTTTTTTTGTTGGTTGCAGCCATGATTGTTGTTGGTGGCCCCAGACTGGATTCGAACCCGCCACCTTAGGTGTATGTGGCTGGTGCCTTAGCCACTTGAGCCACAGGCACCGAGCCCCCATTCTTTTTCTTAGAGCTGTTTTCAACTATTGTTTTTCCTTCAAATACTGACTTGGCTTTAAAGATATATTTTCTCACAATTGCAGAAATTAATGGAATATTGTTTTGAAGGAAAGAATTTGTTAAACTTGCTAACTGAAATCTTAGAACATTGAGCTACATGTTACCACAATTTATACAACTCACAGTTAAATCAGTTTCTTTGGGAATATTTAGTGGATGAAACTTTTTTTTTTAGAGACATTCTCACTTTATTGCCCTCTCTAGAGTGCTGTGACGTCACAGTTCACAGTAACCTCCAACTCCTGGGCTCAGGCGATTCTCTTGCCTCAGCCTCCCAAGTAGCTGGGACTATAGGCGGATGAAACTATTTTAACTTGAAATTTAAAGAAACTGCAGGCTCGGTGCCTGTGGCTCAAGCGGCTAAGGCGCCAGCCACATACACCTAAGGTGGCGGGTTCGAATCCCCAGCC